TTAGTTAACATAAACAAATTCTCATCGAACATGTCTAACTAGATTAACGGGCAATTATCAAGAGCCAGATAAGCCTTGGCGAGAACGCTCGGCTCCGAAGCGTGTTACTCGATCTAGATTCATGATCAATCAGTCAGATTATCAAGACCAAAATATATATATTCTGTGAGCTTAACAAGAAATCAGTTCCAATAACCCAAGCAAATCATATAATAAGAACTCAATGTTATGCACTTATCTTAGTAAACTCGGATCTGGTATTGGCTATAATTAAAGTTTTGTTTGTTATAAACGTACAACATTACAAATAAGATATTTTTATAGTTTTTACAGAAAACATGATAGGTTTATTGATAAAAAATTATATACACATAATCTTAAACATATTCAATTTACACCAATGTTTACATCCAAACCAAGTATCATGCAAACTAATTTTTGTAAAATAAAATATATTCATCTGCATGATAGATGTACTATTACTATTTGTTATTTCTAACTTTTTTGATGTATTAAAAAAATTATGATTTTCTATTGTTTGAATATTCTCATTTCGCGTTTGACGTAGATCGAAATTTAGTATATGTAAAATCAAAATGCTTTTGTTGACCTAATCAAAATTTAGTATATATAAAGTCAAAATGCTTTTGTTGACCTAATCTCCTAAAACTTATGCATCAGTGTTCTCATGCATTCCGTCATGGTTCTTTTTTCTTACTTCCTTTTTACATATGCCCATGGATATTGCTAATATTTAATTATTTTCGTCCACATATAAAAAAGTATTCGAAAGCCCCCTCGCCTATTATTTATGGTTCTTACGTTGACTTTTAATATGAATCGTTGTCGGAACATTTGAACGAAATTTTCTTCAAGACTATTCTTCTGTTCTTCATATAAAAACAATATACTTTTTTGGCATATGATTGTTAACCAACTATTGGCCTCCGTTCAGACGCCATTGCGTTGGACTTCAAATTTCCAAATCTCAATATTTGCAAAAAAAAAACATTTCAAAAGCAAGGGCGCCAGTTTTCATCTTGCATGGGGGATCTGAAAGTATTGGACTGGTGGACGGAAGTTTCGCCGAAAATTTAATATTTGCATAAGGATTGGAATCGAAAACACAATCTGACAAAAGTCGCATAAGAATCTCATAGGAAGTTTTGTATTTTGGAAATACAACGATCTTTCACGCCAAAACGTTAGACATAGAATATCATATAGCCTTCGTCTTTAGGATACACAAAGCAGACAGCTCAAGACAGCAAATCAAACTATCCAAATTGTTTACAGTCTCTCTTTGTTTTCTCTTCATCATAACTATTTTCAATCAATGCATGACGGGTTTCAAAGGATGAGCTCTCAGCTTTGAAAAATCCAGACTAGCATCAAGCTCCTCGTCCAGCTCCCCAATAACACCTCTGCTCAAATATGACACAAACAATTGTATCGTTAGAAAATCATCGATATTGGACCAACATGATAATGTGAGGATGAGATTTACATGTTGTCGCCTCTGATGATGTACAAACCCAGCACAAGTTGTTGTACTCCTTCCTTAAATATCAACACAAGTTAGAGGTTACCCTGAACAGCGAGAGAGAGTGACAAACATAGCAGAGGTCACAATGCTCAATCGAATATCGCATGGTAATTTAAAAGTGACTTTTTGAATCCACCAGAATACACTTGGTGCAAACAAGAAAACAGACAGGAATCAAACCTTTAAAACTCTTTCACCTTAAACCTCTTTTCAAACACAAATGGAGGTGATCATGTCAAAGCCAATAAAAAATTGACTCACCTAGAACTAGCCAAGGCATTTAACATATGCACTCACAATTTTTTTTTTTTCATTTCAATAATAACATTTGAAAGAATTACTGTACTAAATCTGTTTCAGTGCAAGCTCCAAAAGCACATCAGTAGTGGCTATCCACACTATCTGATTTAAGTTCTTCCATTCAGAGGCCAATTATTTCTTTATCCACTAGTCTCTTTTACTTCAAACAAAGTACATACTGCAGGGACCAGCCAATCTTAAATGTCAGAATATGTTTGTTCCTTAATATTCTGTTAAAAAGATGGCACTATGACTAGAGATCCAGCAATGTACATTATTAGCAAGAACGTACTACCAATTAAATGACCAATACCAGACAAAGAAAGATGATGTGGTAACGAACAAAATTTATCCAACTGAGCTTGCACCTCTATCTTTCTAGTTTTATGCGATCACTACACAAAAAACATGGAGACATCAAGAACACTGATATATCATATAAACCTCATGAAAGTGACACCATGGTTAGATGTAGCCACTCAAGGATCTCCAACCCATCAAACAATGAGGTGAACAAGGTTGCGCAGGTCATACAGTGTCCAATTTTTGTAGAGCAAAGTATTTGCATCCATTCGATTTGGTAATATCATAAAGTTCACTTCAGATGAAATACTTCAAAACAGAAATCTGAAGCATACCTTTGTGGAAAAGACGCGTTCGTGAGATTCATCCAGGATTATATTTGTAGCCTGGTCAAAACCTTTGAGAAGTCCCTGAAAAAACAAAAAAAGCCGACAGTGTTCTTACTTGCTTTGATATTTGGAGTTCCAAACCTTATAGCAAAAACAAGAGGGAATAACATACCACAATGTTGCGTCCATCATTTGTAATCACCGAAATAATCTCTGCAACATCACCCAAAAGATAGAATTGTCAGACAGACAATTCATACGACAGAACATCAAAACCAAACAATCCAGAAAACTGCTTGGTGGGCTAAAAAAAGACAACTTACGATCGACAAAAGACTCGAGTCCAGTAGCTGTCGCCATGCTAACAGTAGAAAGAATTATAGGACCTGAAAAGTTACTACAATATTTCAGCGAAGAAATTCATCGAACACTTGGTGGGCATTAAGGATAAGAAAAAAAAAATGCCGACAAAACCTAGAACCCTCCGGATGGGGAACAATCACCAAACTTTTTATGAACCCAGAATTACGAGAAACAAAACACAATTCCAGCGTAATTAGACCCCCAAATCAAAAATACTTTCACAAAGGGAAGGAATCGAAGGAAAACGAATACAAATATGGTTCCGAATCCTAAAAATGTCACATCGGAGGGTTCAAAGGTATTGAGAAGAGAGTGTGAGGAAGGCTTTACCTTTGCGGCTTCCGAATCTAAACCCTTTCTCCTGGCGGAGCTTCTGATTCGTAAAGCCCTAAAACCTTTTTCAGAAAACTCGGTGCTTTGATGTCTAACGTATGTGTGTAGGTTAGACAATTTTAAATCATTTTTAAATAAAACATTTAAAATAATTGATGTATAAAAAAGTTAATAACAGGAGAAAGTTTTTGGGCCTAAATGGTGTAAACAAAGTTGTGGAATTGTGTAGATTGTGGAAGTTTTCTTTGAAAATTTTGAA